CGGACCGTGGGAGAAGAGAAAAACGGAGCTCTTCCACTAAGTTTATTCCAAATAAGCAAGCGAAACTTACATAACGACTAATTTGGCTAAAAAGCCTTTGCTTTATGGAATATAAACCATTGTTCTCTCAACTTTATTTCTGATGAGAAAAACTAAGCAAACTAGGTTGTTTGCCAGCTACGCAACCCCTAAAAACCTCCCGTTATACGAAGGCCAAAAAATGGGGGACGTACACCAGAGCCTTTATGCAAAACAACCGAACTGCTCTTGGATTTCTGCCTGGAAGAAAACTTTTGTACTAGAAGTAGAACTGAGCTCCTACTCCCCTAGTGTAGCTTAACTAACATTACTCAAACTTTCGTCCAACCTGCTCGGTGCCGTGACTCAGCGTCGAATGAAGTCAACTCCTTCGTACATATTGTCTACCTGATTCTCACCTGGAGATCATGTCACATGATCTCTCACCTGTCCTGCACACCTGCAGGGACTACAGAAACTTGATTATTAGTTGCCAATTCGTCATCAGAATTCCTTAAACGCAAGTAATTGTCATTTTCTGTATTACCCCTCGTGCAATCATCCCCTTACACGATGCGCACTCTTACCGCACACATTAAACACACAGACACATGTGTTAGGATGGGCGCGAGTGCATGGGCATGCACCGCATCGATTGATCAAAGTACGGGTAAAGTCCACTTAGATTCCTAAGGGCAAAGACACTACCAACCTTTCCTTCAACTGGTCATGCACGTACCTATCTTTTGCCTTGTCACTCAACAATGCCTCGTAAACAGTCTGTCTGTAATGCTTGCATTCCCTATTCATGCCGACGCCATCTTGGATCGAAAATGAGGCTTGGGGAGCAAGTGCATTAGACGCGTCCCAGACCTGGGCCGAACAAAATGGGGAAATTCCACTGTTGTGTGCCGAGCTGCACAAACAATTCTCGCTACAATCTGGAGACAAAACTGAGCTTTCATCGGCTTCCACGTGATAGTTTGTTTGCTCCCCAAGCCTCGTTTTCGATCCAAGATGGCTTCGGCATGAATAGGGTGTCATACATTGTGGAAACATCATTTACTACCGTCTTAAGCAAGTCTAACTCTAGTTCTCGGTCTCTAGTGTGTAGCTCAGTCGACCTGATTTACTGAGTTTCCAACCTGACTTTGTCTTTGAGAGACCTCTGAAAAGTAAATTGTCTGACGTTATCTCAATGTTACCTGACTTACAGTACTTCTCCAGCATCGCTACTGGACATGTCGCCTTCCCCGTGCGCGCTATGGACACCCAGTTTCCTTCTCTGTATTGGTCTGTCTTACTAGACTCTAAGATGATGCTGACATATTTGTAAATGAAATGTCACTGCATTTGATGCTGGCTACTTCGTTGTGCCTGAGAAACCCAGCATAGGATATCAAAACCAGGGTTTGTTTGTTTGTTTATTTCGATCCCCATTAGTGCTTAAAAGCACTATTCTTCCTGGGTCAATAAAATGAAACATAAACAAGAAGCCATAGGCGACAATTCTCCGTGAAGTTTTATATATTTCAACAAAATCCCAAGCGTCAACGCCAGACCTACTGTGCAGACATTATAATTAGGCAACGGTTAATACCACGCTCGTCCCCAGCGCCCGTGGAGAAGCCATAGGTTATAGATCGTGGCTTAGCCCAGGCTATGGAAAATAAACTTTCTTTAATGCAAATCTGTCGTTTTTGTTTTCTTTGCGCTATCTAAAGGGTTAGGATAACCTACTCTACTCTGGCGGTATTGTCGTGCTAGTACGTAACGTTACACGGCGGCCATCTGAATACATGTACACTGCATTCTTTCTACTATCGGGACCTAAAACAAGACGCAAGATTCCTATTTTGGGGTATAAAATGCTGTCACAATGGTAATATATACCAAATGAAACGGACCTTTACAAAGTACCTCATTTGGTGACGCTATGAGGGTGTACCGTTATCCCTCTACATTTGCCCAGAAGGGAGTTAGTCGCGGAAGGAACTTAGCCACGGAGGGAGTTTTGGCATTCTCCGCCCGCGCCACAAACTCTCGTCCCCAGGACAGTTCACTCTGCTACCCAGCATGCTTTGCGCAAAATGCGTTCTCGGCCCCAGGACACAAATACACGCTAATGCTTCCGCACTGTGTTGCTCTGGGGACCCCGCCGCGCGCCCAGATGTGGATTTAATTATAGCGCGCTAGCGGACGCTGCGGAGGAGCGTGGGTTAATACAATGAGGGCGCGTCACAAGCATAAAACATACAAAGAGCTAAATCCATTACTGCTCCCAGGGCGTGTAAAGATACTGTGCTTCAAGTTCTAACTTCATTTTAATTACACACACACAATCATTGCATTCACATAAAGATCGGACTATCATGGTCGTGTCTAGTAACAAAGACAGCCCCACCGTCTTACGGTGCCTGTACCTAATTAAGCGCGCCTGGAACAAGCCAAATTCCAGCAACAGTGGCGGTAAGCACCGCGAGTGTTACTACCGCCGGCCAGATAACCAGG